TACTTCTATGGAAGTAATTATATTTTACACATCCTTTTCCAATATAAATATTTACAGAGACAATATGTTATTTAACTGCCATACAAGTCTAAAATAACAAACCTTTCTCCCACAGACTTCTGCCCTCTTCTTCTCACAGTCCTGTGTAACCAAGTCTGATCTGAAGGCCTCATAGCCCAGTATACAGTTCCCCACACCACTCTTTCCTGCTCCGGAGCGTCCCACCAGCACCAGGCGCAGCTCTGCAGACTGTGAGGCAGACGGGGAGGCAGATCTAGCGTACGCTGGAGCCATGGCAGAAGCAAATGCAAAAGCAGTGGGAGAAGCAGGGGGCGAGGAGAAGGCAGGTGAGTGTGGTGAAGTGGTGGGGGACACTTCAGGAGAGCTTTCTTCAAAGCTGTTTATTCTATGGTGAACTGAAAATAGTATAATTTATATAAGTAATATAAGTATAATAAAGTATTTAATTAATAAGAAGTGCAACAAAAACTGAATAAAAAAAACTGAAACATACAAGTGCTGGTCATCTTTGGCGTAGCTATGCTTTCAGACATTTTTGAGAGAATAGTACCCTCTATAGGTAAAGGAGCAAAATGACAGTTATGAGATTTAGAGTTACCTTCAATCAAAATTTACTGTCTAAAGTAGCATTAACACAATTACTGTTACCTGAATTTAGTCTGAAACTGGGAGTCCTTGACAGCTGCTGCTCAGTTTGTTGTTCTGGTACTGGAGTGGAGTAAGGTCCATTGGACACTTGTCTGCTTTCAGCTCTGCCCTCAATAGTGTCCTGCCCCCTGCTGGCCCATTCCGTCACTGAGCTGACAGTGTTCTTGGTTTCTGTGGTGTTACCGAACTCTACGCTCATACTCTGTCTCTGAGCTTCTCTTTGAGCTCTGTAGTTTTCCATCAGCTCACGTTTTCTTTCTTGTATTCTTCTCTCAAGCTCACGTTCCTCTTCTGTCTTTACGGTGTGTATGCCGTTTCTCTGTACGATGGTATCCACCTAATGAGAGCAGGGTTTAAAACACTTTTCTGTTAATGAACATAAAAACAGTGTACTTGAAATTGATAATATCTACATAACTAGAGTTTCATCACACATTTGCAGATGTTATTTTTTACATGTAAACCAGTTCTCCATCAGTGGCTGCATGGGCGTAACAGTGCAAAACAGGGAGGTGGTGAGAAAAACTCTTAACTAAACTTGCACCGATAATCTATGGGTATATACTCTTTCTGTGAACTTAAGCTCCTCAGTGTGAGAAACCTGTTTTAAAAAGCTTGTTCTGATAATAAGTTAAGCAATGTGCAGTATTTATTTATTTTTTTTTACCTTATCCAGAAGTTTTGTGACTTGCTGCCTGTCTTGTCTGTTACGGTTATTGATCACATGACATCTGCCATTACATCGTTCAAGTATCTGTGACAGAGCTGGGGGCTCCTTCTTGAGGTATTCCTAGAGAAAAAACAAAACAAAATTGTTCGCACAACCTGTTGTTGTGTTAAATGTAAAAATCATTTCTGCAATACCTCCAGTGATCTTCCAATCAGGTAGTCCCCACATGTGAACAAGACTAGAGTGTGATCCAAAACATCTTCCCCAAACAGCCGCTCAAGTTCTGCAGGTACCAAAGTTTCCATCTGACAGAACAGAAAGTGAAAGCCATGATAATTACATACAATTATTACATTATTGTTATTATTAAAACTCCAATGACCAACCTCTGTGAACTGAAAAACAGGGATGAGCAGGAGAATAGCATGTGGTCCTGGTGTCAGCGCCATCATGGCTTTTGCTGTCTCTTTCCGGATGCTCTCGTCCATTTGCCCACCGCTCCAGTACCACCTCGGGGCCTCCACCACAGTCACTCTCCTGCCCTCTACAAAGCCCTGCCGCTGGACCAAGCCCCTGGACATGCTATGGGACAGGGCAGCCTTTTCGTTCAGAATGGTGTCCGCTGAACAAGTCTTTCCACAGCCGATGTTCCCCAGAAGAAAAAGCCTGAGCTCATGGGACGAGTCGCCATTGCTTCCACTATAGTGACCACTCATAACTGAAGACACAAAGAGGTACTTATTAAGAAATGAAGAGTATTTACCTTGAAAGCTTTCATCGCCTGAGTTGAATAAATTCAGCTATAACAATATTTGTTCACCTGACTGATACAAGATACAACACACCTCACCAGTCCTGTTCAGCGACATTGTTTAGAATGGAGCAATATGAAAAACACTTCATTAACAAACGTGCATATACTAGTAGTAATATAATGAACTCTAGAACAAAAAATATATATACTGTGAGATGTTTATAAATTTACATTCATAATTAGGGATGCACCGATAAGATACTTGTATCAAATATCAGCTTCCAAGATACCGGTTCATTTGATATCCCATTTTGATTTATAAATTGGTGTAATAAGATGATTTACTGCCCAATGTTGCCCCAAAACATCTTATAATATTGAACTTGTATTTTTACAAAGCTGCTCAATAGTTATAACACATTTGGGTCTTTGGGTCATTTTGTGCTTAAAGGAAACACTTTTTTCAGTCTCTGTGTTGGTATCGGTTGATATGGAATGACTTAATGACAAAGAGTTGATATTGTAACTGAACAACCTGAATCTGTGTATCCCTGTTTATAATGCAATGTCAATTTTTAGAATGACAAGAGGTACAGCACATAGCCCAAAAAACATTAAACATTTCAAACCTTTTGTAGTACATGATCTCCATTGTCTAAAATCTCCTATTAAAATAAATACACCATTGTAAGTAGGCAAAACATACTATACTCACTGGTGGGTGTTCAGTCTGGTTACCGGGCAGCGTAGAACTTTTCTTCTTCACAACAATCATAAGTGAGCTCCCAGGTAACAACTAGCTCTGATACGTAGTGAAAGGAGAGTACCAGTCTCACCACTCCCAGTGGACAGACTCCAGCCTTCACTTTTTTCATGTACAACTGGTTTCTGGTGTGCGCCGGATAAAGAACATTCCCAGAAGGGGTGGAGTAAGGTGTATCCCAAGGCACCGGTGAATCATTTTTCACATCACATCCACACCCTTTCATGTGTCAGAACCGTCAAAACATAAGTGACTGTCTGCGGTGTTTAGACAAAAATGTAGTCCATTTAAGAGTACAATTACTGATATTACTCAAGTTCAAGTCATGATTATGCATAGTGAAACTTCTCTAGGAACGTCAGTTTTCAATTTCACTCATCGCTATCCACCCATTAAATTAGATCCGGTATGTGTTTTATTAAAGAAGCACCAATATTATGCCCTCTGGTTTTCAATAGTGGAATTTGTTTAGAGTTGTAATTGTTTTTCTATTTTTCTGCAGTGCACCTTAAATAATCAAATTTACCTAGCTTGCCAATAGCAATCTAAGTAAATAAAAAAAATTTACTAGATGGCCTAGAGGTGACACCAATTTTATTAGATACATTCAATTCTTTTTCAAATAATGCAAAATGAAAAATGACAAAAAAAATAATAATTATATATATATATATATATATATATATATATATATATGACATAACATCTGTGCTTATTAATTAGAGCAGCCCAAACACAATGATGCCACATGATGCCATTCTTACTTTTACTCACAGCCCTGGCATCAGGTAGGACACATTTTCCAGAGTAGAGTCCTTAAAAACATTTTGTATAAGGGGCTTGCCAAGTGTGTGTGTTTAAATGAGCGGTTGTGTTACTTACCACAATGTGATCCACACAGCCCTGCAGCTCTGGGACCTGAGAGCTGAGGGACACCAGAGGAGCAAAGGTGCACAGCAGAGAGTCCAACAGGACAGACAAACTGGTAGACACGCATACATGTTTCTGCAAACAAAGCAAGTCACTAAAGGCAAACTGCAGTCATATTTAGTGTTTAAACTGTTAGGCAAGCATGTGATACATAAGAACAACACTGAAGTGTCTTATTCAAACATTGGTATTCATGTTGACAGAGACAGTTCTGTTTTTAAAAGGAAAACACTCACATCTGTTTCTTGTAGGTAATGTCCAATAAGTAACAGTGACTCTCCGAGCAGGTGCAGGTGAGCAGCAGCAGTGACAGGGTCATGGGCAGAGGCTCTTGGTGAAGTGGAGCTCACAGTGTCCTGGGCTGATGTCACAGGTCTGTAGGCACACTGTGCAACACTGACTTCTACTAGAGCAGGAAGAGGCTCATGAGGGCAAATATAAAGAGCAGACTGAGGACTGTCCGGCTCAGGGGATGACCAAACGAAACCTGCACGTGTCATAGAGCAGTCTGTCATTGTGCATTCCAACAAGGGGACATCCCTCTATAATAGAGATAAACAAAGGCAAAACAAGCATTGCTCTTGGGCTACTCTTATCCAAAGCCACTGTTCAACATGAATAGCTTATAGACAACGATTTGACTTCTTTTTTTTTTTTTTTTTTTTACCTCTTTAGCTTCAGTCTTCCCAAGAGGGGAGGCTAGATCTATCACAAGGTCAGACTCCGCATCAGTTTCTGAAAACTTTTAATTATCACAGAATAAAAATACAACAAAAAATACTTGTAAACCATTTCTTTTACAGGTCATAGGCTACATATTTTACGTTAGCTTTTTGCAGTATTACTTAGCGCTGCGGTGGCCTACCTCCCCGGGAGCGAGGCCTTCCTCAGCTGACTCCAGACTGATAAGCTTCTTCATCTTCATTCTCTTTAGGCCCGAGGCTGCAGTGCTCTGTGAATAATCATGTGACCATTCAATTAAGCCCGTGAACAAAAACCGTGGGTACAAGTGAACTCGTTTAGCACGTATTCTGCGCTTGATTAATTATTAAACATGTCGCAGGTGTTTTGCCTGAGTTGGCTGTTTTTATCTGTTTCGAGCCTGAGCTCAGCGGATACATATTCCGGTTCACCGTGTACTTGTGTAGTTTATAGGCCTAGATATGTTCTCAGTGTTTTAACAAAGCTCAGTAGCACAGCCTTTTGTTTGTTTAGCCTGTAGTCTGCAGGTGGTGGGGGTCGTGCAGTATGCAGTCGTGCCGTAGGCCCAATAGCCTTTTTCCATGCTTATGCAATGAATACTATTTTAACAAAGTTTTTTTCTTGCATAGTATTTTAAGCTAACACATAGGCTATTGGTGGAATTAATTAACATTTAGCCTAGGTCCATTATTGCATTAAAGTGTTTGTTGTTCTGGGGACATTGCGTCCTGTATTAACCTTTATCTATCGGCTATTTACAAAATGCTCAGGGTGTAATACTCGACAAAAATGTTCCTCTGACTTTAATAAGCCTATTGTAGGTCAAATTGGACAATATCCAGTAGATATTTATAGCAATAAATCTTGGATTGTCCATATGATCTTGTTTTTGATTAATCATGCTTTAGACATTTCCCCTTTTGAACCACTAGAGAAAGTCCATAGTCATGTTAAGTCTGAACTCCTCCTCTCTGGTCTCTGTTTCTCTGCAGAGTCACGCTAAGCACAGGCCGCTCCTCCCTTTGGTTTCCCACACCAAAACTTCCTAACTCATGTTAACTCCAAGTCCGTCCCACTTAGTCCCCAAACCTGCTGTCTCATGTTAACGCTCCAGAAGCTGATTCATGCTTAGCTGAGGCTTGTGGCACTGATTTCCTGTTTTCAATCTCAGGCGGGGAGGAGACTGGGGAGGACCATATAAAGCAAAGGCTCGAGTGCGCACAAAGCACAACTTGTACGGGACACTGACACAGAGCAGCTGAGCACACAAAAGAGAGGACAACAAAGGGAAGACTGCATTGAAACTGGTGAGGATTTGTTTTTTAAATGTATTTTAAGAGATGGATATTTTTCATACCCAATAAAATGTATTGTTATTTACAGGGAACAATGGAGCCTGATAAGAAGTTTCACACATCACCAGAGCCAACAACAGAGAGGTCAGACTCAACTTCTTGTGACATTTATATATGCTATTCAGATTGTACAAAATCATGCATGCAAATCTGACCATACTGTTATTTTCTTTCCTACCAGGGATCTGTCTGAACAAATAAAGTCAGCTACCAGGGACAGTCATGTGCGAGCAGAAAACACTGAGCTGATGCTGAGCTTCCAGAGGGGGCAGGTCACCCTACCACAGTACAAGGTAAAGCCATGTATTCATATTGTGTGGTTGTGGCTTAGAGGTTAAAGTGTTTGCTCACTAACTCAAAAGGTTGGCTGAATGCTGTTGTTGTGTCTTTGGGCAAGACACTTCACCTACCTTGCCTGTGGTGTGTGTGAATGTTGATTGTTATGGGGGCTGTTGGTGCAGATCAGTGGTGGAAGTAAAAGTACAGATACTGGAGCAAAAAATACTCAAAGTATTAATATAAAATAACATGTTTAAAAATGTACCTAAAAATAAAAGTATTTCATGCAGTTTTTGGTATCTAATAAAACTCAAAATGTAGCAAAGAATTCAAAGAGAAATCTGCTCTTAAATGCAGTGAAGTGAAAGTAAAAGGTATCCTCTTTAAAATGTACTTAAGTGAAAACTGTAGACAATTGTATTTTACTACTTCTGTTTTGTTACGTTCCACCACTAGTGCAGATAAGCAATCTTGCACCTGTCAGTCTACCCCAGTAGTTTTCTAACACCAGATGAGAAGTGCATGAATAAAGAAATGTAAAGAATAGATATTTTGAACAGTCTTTTTGACAGGTTGTTATCACTGATTTGTCTGTACAGCTTCTGCTATGCTCCCTGCACGAAATCTACTCTGCACTGGAGGAAGAGATGGACAGGAACAGTGAACATCCCGGCGTTGCTCCTATCTACTTCCCTCATGAACTGGCCCGGCTGGAGTCCATTGAGAAGGACCTGGCGTACTTCTATGGACCTGAGTGGAGAGAGAAAATAGCTGTCCCAGCTTCCACTAAAAGATACAGCCACAGACTCAGACAGGTAAAAGACTGTCCAAACAAAAATTAAAAGTGCATTGTGTAACTTTTCTGATGGAGGGTCTGTCAAACGTTTTTCTCCTTGGAGATGTTATTGCTTTGTCTGGAATGTTTTACAGTATGGTATTAAGCCTTTCTATCTTCACGGAAACCAAACTAGACCAAGTTACAGGTTAGATCTGTGGAAAGACAACCCCGTTTAGTCAGAATTCCTGTTTTTCAAGTTGTAAAACTACCTGTAATTGAATAAATATAAGGGAGAGCTGTTTAATGTCATACTGAGGAACATTCCAGCATTCAGTGTAGGGATGTAGGAATGTGCAAAAATATCAAAATATCGATGTATCGTTTAAAGTGATAATGCAGTATCATTATGCTGTATTGATATATTGCAATTTTTGTTGCTTGTTTGGAGAAAGGAAACTCATTTATGCAACACATCTGACATTTTCACTGTTTCGATGACTAAAATGTTTGTGTTTCAAATTCATTTTGCACACGATTTTTTGTATAACAGCCTTGATTTAGCCTTTATTTTTATTGAACCATATCGAATCGATTTGAAATATATCAATATGAAATGTATGCAGTGCACTATGAAAGTGCACTGCATCAAGATATGTATTGTGGCATATGTATCATATCGGCAACTTCTTAAAGATATCCAGCCCTAGCAACCACCAAACAAAAGGCTACATAATGCACATTTTAAAAATTAAAAATATTTCACTGAAGTAACATAAATTTTCCTCATTTTAATAGATTGGTAAAGAAAACCCAGAGTTATTAGTTGCCCATGCCTACACGCGTTACCTTGGCGACCTGTCTGGCGGGCAGGTGCTTGGTCGGATTGCACAGAAGTCAATGGGACTCAAAGGTTCTGAAGGCCTCTCTTTCTTTGCCTTCCCCGGCGTGTCCAGCCCTAACCTGTTCAAACAGCTGTACCGTGGACGCATGAACAGCATTGAGCTCACGGAAGAGGAGAGGAAGAGCGTGCTGGAGGAGGCAGTCACAGCTTTTGAGTTAAACATCCAGGTATACATTTACCTAAATCACCTCAACGTTACTTATAAATGTACTATGGCGCTCATGACCTTACTTGTATGTCCATTCTGTTGTGCAGGTCTTTGATGGTTTGCAGGCCATGTTAAGCCAACCCCAAGACAAGCAGCAGATTTCAGAGTCCACACAAGTGAACAACAACACCCAAACACAGCAGTCCTTGATCAATGTTTTCCCACTTTTACGAATGTGTGTGGGATTCTTTTTGGCGGTGGTCACAGTCACTATGGGAGTATATGTCTTTTAGATTTGTATCAATAGTAATACATTCTAACTCACCCATATGAGATACACGTGTAGATATTTTTGACAAAACTGTAAAATATGATATGATGTACATTGTTTTCCTAATTTTTATAATCTGTTGTGAGCGTGTATAATGGGTGACTGACTGAAAACTATGTGCAATAAGTTCCTTGTGCAATATGATGTAAATATCTTATTAAAATGTTTTTTTTTCATACTCTTTGCATTATACATGGCACATCTTTGCATATTTACTCAACAGATAAAATGCCTATGAATGAAAACCCCCAAATTACCCAAAATTTAAGACTTTTTTTTAAAGACCACTTAAATGAAAATTAAGACCAACATCACATTTTGCAGGCGAAAAATACCAGATCCAACCAACTACTGTACTATAGAATCTAAGAGTGTGATTTCATGTTGTTTTTTTCCTCCCTCCATTTAACATTGCACTGCAGCCCGTTTGAGTATACAAAAAAATAGGCTAATGAAATTTAAGATCTTTCTGAAAAAAATAAGACTTGGACAACATAATTTATGGCTTTTTAGGCCTTAATTTAGGAACATGAAATTTAAGACCTTTTAAAGACCCCTTGGCTACCCTGAGCATATTGTATGTAGGATTAAAATATTTCATATAATGTAATAAAGAATTAAATTTTTATCATTCTATTCTTCAGATGTAAAGAATGTTCTGTTAAAATCAAACACTGATGTTACACATACCAATTGCAATGTTGATTTATTCATAATTTATAAACATGTTAATTATGTAAAATTCTGTTCTAGTTCTCAAGACTGCAAAATGAAGACCTTTCTTTGGTTTATTAGTTCCCTCCAAAAAGGCTCTCAAATGGTGACTGCTTAATGTCATCTCAGGTTGCTTGCTGTTCGGAGTTACAGATATGACATTGAAAGACTGAAATATAAAAACAATAAACCTGCTGGTCCATAACTTCCAACAAGGAGACCCCAGCAATGATGTGGGGCAATATGCCCATGATCTGCAGAGCTCCTCCTCATCGCCCCCTTCTGGCCAACTACAAAAACTTGTGTTAAACACATGATGGACCGGATTCAACCAAGAGCCATAAAGCAGTTTTTCATTTATATGATTAAAGTATACTCTTTATTTTTGTATCTTGAAGCTCTGATTAAAATTCCAGTTCCAGTCACCTAAAGAAAAACTTAAGTACTGGTATTTGCAAAGCTTTCTTGCAGTCATGTTTTCATGAGAGCAATATTACTCCTTTTTCCTGACTGCACAATAAATCAGCCACACTTGTAATATAATTTTACATCTACTTTAATTGTGGTTTAAATTCGAAATTAAAACTAAGGATTTGTTTTGTTTTTAAGGGAACAGTGCTGTCTCCACCTAGTGGACATAGAAGTGAACTGCGCACCAGCAATGATTGTACTTCACAAGAACTGGCTAAAAAGGCACCACCGCTCAGTAACACAGAAGCATTGGCAAAATATTCAAAAATATTTATTTACATTCAATGATCCTACCATAACACTAGTGCAAATTGTTACTGTATGTTACTGTGTTTGAGCACAGTGTGGTAGACATACGACCTGTTTAAAGAGGTCATAAAGCAGTTACTCTTGACTGTAATGTCAGAATAGAACACAGCATTATGATTATTATTACCACACTGTTATTAGAGGATTACACAAACCCAAATTACAGAACAAGAAAACCTTAGAGATGTCTAAACAAATACACAGTTGCATTTCAGGCAAGTGTCTTCATCATTCACTCGGGTCTGTTGTGCCTACGTTTATGATTAATAGTAATTACAGCCATATTTATTGAAAAAAAATCATGACCGATCCCTACAAGGCATTTTTTGCCATATTGCCCAGCCCTATGTTACTTCATGCTTGCCCCGGTAACAAGGTTTTCCAGTAATCTTCAACAACTATTTTAGACTTTCCTATTGCACAATGCATCAAGCTACATAAAGGACACACTTTCACTAAACCATAATACATAGAATATAATAAAAAATACTTTGATTACATTGCATTGTTAACCTTCTACCTAAAAAATCGAATAATCATCTTTATGCATCATATGGCACACTGCCCAATCATAAAAGGCGAAAAGGTTTAATTTCCCATTTCAAGGGAGACTGTGCTGTTGTTGAAAACGCATTCTTCTTTACCTGGGTTACACTTGGTAGAACAGCTAAGACAGCGAAGGTGCTTTGTAATAAAATGCAGTCAGGTGTGAGGTGTTACTTAGTTGGCTTCATAAGAGGACAACAGAGCAGCATCCACTGGCTCCATGCAGGAGGGGCAGGTGAAGGAGCGCATCAGCCAAGGGTCAATGCAATCCACATGGTAAATGTGTAAGCAGGGCAAGAATCGAACAGGATCGCCATATTCAAAATCCATCATACAGATCACACACCTGGGGAATAACAAAATACATTATAAACTTTGATACTGACACAAGCCAACAGCAGCTTGGACAAAACCATTTTGAGATATGTGCCATACTCTTTCACTTTCTTGTCAGAAGGGTCAGAACCAGGGTCAAAGATGCCTTTAGGCAGGTGGTGGATGAGCCCGATGCGCTGGGCGATGCGGATCTGCTCCTCTTCAGTGAGCTGGCTCGCCAGACGGCTCTCACCTGGTGTAGGATGATACACTGGCTGTGGACGCTCCTAGAGGAAACAAAAACAGTTTAGGGTTCTTGTTTACACACGAGAGTAGCAGTTTTCATGAAGAATAACCCAGAGTATGGCATAAAAGTTCATAGAAAATGATCTAAAGTATGGTTTTAACTTTCTATTTCCAAGGAATCATGCAGGTGCCAGATCAAGAAAGTTCCACACTGTTGCTTTAATGAATTCAAATTGTCAGTGGATCAAAGTCTGGTCCGTGATAAACTTCGCTCCCTCCGTGACTGACACACACACCTGGTATGGCGGCGGAGGCTCCCCGGGCAGACTGCCCCCCTCAGACTCGTTCAGCAGAGATACGTCGTCTGCTCCTTGAGAAAAAAGACAGTTCCCCATTGAAGTGCCACCACCATGAGAGTCCCAGTGACCACAGACAGAAAAAATAGCGTCAAAAAGTCGAACAGCTACCGCGAAAACGCTAACGCTTGTTTTTTAGCTAACTGTTAGCCCATTTCGCGACCGTCATTTCAGATCGACAAAACAATAAATATAAACGACTATACAGTGATAAAGCACGCCACAATGTAGTCCAAAAAGGGCCAGGAAATGACAGGTTTGTAATCACAAAAGCACGACTAGTTTGTGAGTGTCGCTGAACATAACCGTGCACTGTTTACTAAATGTAGACCGGATGTGTCGTCAGAGGTGAGCCCTGTTCAGCTTTTTTTTCTGATCAGCTGCTTTTAACACTTTTGTTTGTGACACCAGATAAATATCGACTACAACATTTTGAATTAACATTTGAGGCTTAAAAAATAATAATAATAAAAATTAAAATAAATAAATAAAACAATAACGAGGCCTTCATTTAGGCCTATCTAACCTGCAAGAATCCTAAGGCATCTGATTAAAATGAAACAAAGTAAAGACTAAAACAATAGCTGTATTTACTAAGTGCACTGCTAGTTTTGTTATAGTAAAGACAATAATTTGATTTAACAGATCCCAGTTTTCTTTCCAGTCGCATTGGTTAGTAACAATAAAACACAACACACTGCAATACAGTCAAGAACATCCTTTTATTCAATCAGGTGCTGCTCTTTTCAAACTGTGTTTTTCTTCTTATGGAAAAGAAACTGTAATTAACACATGCATTTCACCTAGAGCTCTGGGGGTGTTCTCACACAAAAAAGTGCACTGAGGGCATGGATAGGAGGTGCAGAGGAGGGAGTCAGGGGCCACAGGAGCTGCTTTTCACTAATTGCCAAATACTTTCAAAATAAAACAAAATAAACAACAAAAAGACATGAAGCAGTCCAACTTGAGCCAAAAAGGGAGGGAAGAATGGAGGGACTTCCCTGTATTCTCACTAGTTAAGAGAAATCAGGTTTAGCTTTATGTTTTGAAAACGGCTAATACTGCTCACCAACCATTTGAAATAATACTTTTCTAGGCGACATTCATTCATTAGCATGTGGGATATGTCCGAGAAGTGCAGACCCTTCCTTTGACCTCATGTTAGATGCATACGGTTATAAGGTGCTTAGACTATAGCTTAAATTTACAGTCCTAGGCTTCCTAAAAGGGAGCCTCAATGACAACATACCCTGATAATATGCAAAGAAATCTAAACAAAAAAAAAAAAAAGAAACAAATGGGGGAATAAAACTAAGCAAATATAAATACAAGAAATTTAAAAGCGCAATGTCTATGAACTAGTCAAAGCAGCCTCCCAGTTTATTCAGCACACACAACTCCAAAACCCCCCTGAATCCCGGCCTGCGGCTCTTCTCCCACTCGGACACCCCCAAAAGCCTGTCAGTGTAATTTGTTCACTTACATTAGCTGTTGAATGGAGAAGCTGAAGAGATGGGTATGGTAATACAATGTGAAGCATATAGACAAGAATAACATGTGAGCTAACTGCATTCTGCTCAGACAAAGGTTTTGTCGGCAATATTTTTATCCCCTCCTCAACAGCAGAGAGGGTGGAATAGATGGACAGTGAAGGATAGTGTGTGTGTGTTTATGTGCGAGAAAGATGCTGAGCAACAGACACACAGTTACAGACTACTCCAGTGTCTACAGAAAAACAGACAATGGAGACAGAGGGCAAGAAAAGGAGCTGAACAAGAAAGTTTTTTTTACTTCAAACATTTTTCCCATTATTTATCAATAAAAAGTAAAGAACTAATTCACACCATTTCCTTTTGTACTATATATATATACTGTATATATATACGGCTTTAAAAAGGAAGAGAGGCTAATGGGGTAAAATGAAAGTGTTTTTTTACAAGCCATAAGGGAAAAGTTGCCCTCCGTTGCTTAAATGGTGCAGATTTTTTTCCTCATTGCAGCACTTGGGGACAACCTGCTACCTCGAGCCATTTTGAGAAGGGCAATCTGGATTACAAAATGGAGTCTGTGAACAAAAGGCACTTTTAAGGGACAACCTTTAACTGCTGGGAATCTATACACTACAGCACGAGCACTAAGAGTCATTTACAGAGAGGGAGTGGAACAGGGGAGAGGCTCACTTGCAGTCTGCTTCATCAATGGTCAGATTTTTAGTTTTTGCAACACACAGCATGCATGTCTCTTCACAATTTACTAAGCAAGTCCTGAAAACTGTATACCACCTCTAAAGGGACGAAATGCCAGATGCATGTTGGAAGTCTTAAACTGCTGGTCACTTTCAGGCAGTGTAGGGGTCAATATAAAAGGGACTAGGTTAAATTATTCTAAAGGTTGAACCAAAATGCCTTTTGTGTCACAACCTTAAAGAATAGGAACCTCTCCCCCACTCGTACAACAGAAGAGTACACATAGAGAGGAGTAATGCTGTTTCCTAAATTGTCTGTTTTGTTCAATACCTTTCATTTACAATAGTTCTGAAAGTACTTAATTGTGTCTAAGCACCAGGTTTATCTGATAAAATACAATTCTCTGTAGAAGTTGTGTAGATTTGTGTCCTTCAGCCCTCCCACATTTTTATAAACAAATGATTACACATAAAACATTAAAAAAGACAAAGAAATAAAAACATACCCCAAGTTACAAAGATTTTTTCATGGCCCTCTAGTTTAGAGTCCTGGAGCTTATGGACTTGAAACAAATACATTTTTTTTCTCTTTTCATTTAGCTTTCTTAAAAACCTCTAACAGACAAACACAATGATCTACCCAATGCATTGCACATGGCTCAATCAACACATTTTCAATAATAATACTTTCCAAAAAGACATTTTTCTTCAAACCTACAAGGGGAATTCTGACGATTTGTCTCAGGATTAGGATGCTGCACTACGGAGGGTAATGGCAGTGATTTTTGATCATGTTGGTAACAGTTATGTGGCATTTTTGAGTCAGGAAAAGTCGATGTTCAGAAAGTAACTGGACTGCCAACAGGTGTAAGATGTAAACAGGGGCATACTTCATGAATGTAAATGAATATTATGGTTTGATTGCTTTTCCAATTGTCTTTATAAGAATAGTTTAAGAGAGAAACAATTTTTATTCTTGTTTAAACAGAGGCACTTCATAAATTCTCATCTGATTTTTTTTTTGTACGAACATTTGACTCTCAACCATGTCCCTGCAAAACAATCTACAACCGGCAGTCCAGTTATTTTCCAGAGGTTTAAATCTGTTTCATGTTGACAGAAAACCAATATAAATTTTAAAGTTTCATTTACATGTAACTAAAATACAATTCCTTGTAAAAATGAAAAACCATTAACAAAGGCAGTTTTGAGAACCAAATATAATTAATTTGCAATTGTAATTGTAATGTGTAATGTGGGTATGGTTTGTAAACCAATTCATTACTGGGTTCCTGGGTGGTAGATAGTATTGTAGATGTAGACTGATGTAATGTAAATTATATTAATGAGAGGCTGTTTGGTGAGCTGTCAGAAATGAGAAACAAGAGAAATATATTTTACTGACTGAGTGCATGAGTGAATCTTGCCTGTACCTTGAGCAAACTATAACTAATAATGAGCATGCAAGCAAGAGACTGAACACCAGGCCAAATGCAGCCGGCCCCCACTCACAGAAAATCAAAAGAAAAAAGAATTCAAACTATATAAAGCTGTAGTTGGTATTTTATCTATACTGTATGTGAAAGCAAATCCCAGAGAACTGCACAGCCACAGTCCTGAGGCCCAGTCCAAACCACCTCCTCACTCTCTCATCTGACCTTAATGTGCAATACATTTCATCCCTAATTCAACATAATAGTGCATAGGTGAGGGGACGAAAGAGCATGTGTAGAGTTAGTGTTATGATTGATGCGTGTTCAATCTCCCACAATGGCCTCATGGCTATCACCCTTGTATTTTTGACAGGTAAACAACGACTAGCCCCATAGTGCATATAAGTCACACCATTTTATGATGTCACTGTAATTGGCCAAATATGAACTGAAAGAGGCAGAGGGCTGAGCAGGCAATCTGTGGCTGTGCAGATGTTGTGCAGCAGGTGGATGTTAAAATAGACAGGATAATGACAAATTTGACCATTTCCAGGTGTTCTATATTTAGATCTCTCAGCCAATGCATGGAGTTTCATTCTGGATACAACATATGAAAAATACAAATGATAAAAAATGCATATTGGTCATTGTTAATTTGCCCTACTTGGTTTTGATACTTAGTGTTTGAAAGACAGTTCCTCATCTTCCTCTTCCTTCGTCTTGTGTAATGAGACCTGTACACTCAGTTAGATGCTTCCGACATAAAGGGGATGAGTGCAGATAAGGGCATCCTCTTGGGGGTGGTGGGTTCTTCAGGTTGTGCAGATGTATTTTCAATATTGATGGAGAGGAAAAATACTTTAGTGTTTACAGTCTGTTTTTAGCTGTGATTTTTGTTATCCCAATTTTCTTGAAATATTTTCTATATAAGCTGTGTTTTCAGTGATGCCTTGTCAGAGGAACCAGGACTGTGGAAGAAAAACAAAACAAAAAACATCAGAATTTGTAACATAAATTGAAATCTCCACTAGATGGCCACATACACCATGTTTTAAAGTCTCAAAGTTGCTAACTCAGGTTTACCCCCTACAGTCTGATTTACTGCCACATAAGTTGTTATTTCAAAAACACGCATAGAAAGCAGCTGTTTGTGATGATGCAGCTTTCTAAACGTAGACTGTAACTCCTCTGTCATGCTCTACCAGTTTGTATGTAAGGTGATCGTTCTAATATGTCTGTGCTGTGAGTCCAAGTGGGCTCAGGCTACACTGTGGAGCCATTGAGAGCGGCTACTCCCGGGATCTCGTTTCTCAGTGATAAGAGGCAGAGAGGAGTCGCTGGCAACGGCCCAGAGGGTTTTTGGCTGCTGCACGCTGACATTCCACAGGCCACGGCTGAGGGAATGCAGCACATCACCACTTTTAACAGTCCCACGCTCAAGTAGATCCTCCTTCTTACCCATAATTCCTCTTTCAGATAACTGCTCCTCCTCCTGGTTTGACTTTTCTTAACCCAGCTCTCTTTTCTATCCCCTATCTTACTCTTGACTCTTTCAATATAATCCTTGGCAGGGGAAAGTGACCCCCCCACTCCAGACACACGCACACACACGCATGCACACACACGCACACACAAACACACACACACACACACACACACACACACACACACACACACACGCACACACACACACACACACACACACACACACACACACACACACACACACACACACACACACACACACACACACACACATGCACACACACATCCGCTTCAAGTCCAAGTTCAACTGCCTCTGACATCATGTCTGGTTGCTGTGGGCAACCAGACAGCCTGGACGTGACTGTGGAGGGCAGCAAGCTTAGACCAATTCCCTCTTTTCTCTCTCTTTCCATCTAGTCCGCCATACTTCTGACAGAGGAACTCAACTGTCTTCCTAGGTTTGCCTGCAGAGACAACATCTCACCAGCAGAGGGATCCTCAGTCCAGCTTTTGCACGTTTCTGCTCTTCCTCACTCTCTCTCTCTTTCTCTCTGGGCTAGTTGGCTGGCCAGCCCCTAGGCAGACTGGCAAGGCCCTCGTCTAAACCCTCCATATGCCAAGGAATAGCAGGATAAGGAGAGACCTTGGTGACTCACTGTGGCTTCTACTGACCTACTAGGCTCTGTTCATACACATGCATGCTACACATTCACCCGAAAATAGTCCAACTCAATGTTTTAATTATTAGCAGTTTCCTTTTGAGATATTTGACAGAGAGAGCGAGAGAGAGAGAGTGTGTGTGTGTTTGCTTTGCTTTTATGGATTGTGTTTGGAAGTCTTTAGTGCCAGGGATACATCTGTGGTGAGTGGTACAGGTGGGAGCTCAAAAATACTAGATGGAGAAGTGGGACTAATGCCTGAGAGAGGCAGTGAAGAGTGGAGGGGGCTGCACTGAGGAGGAATGCAGATTGTTTCCATGTGTGGGGAGGACAGGGGAGCTGAGTTGGCTTCAGGCAGGTGCGGTTAGCCCCTAATGAGAAAAGTTGTGTTGGTGATGGAGAAGGCCCAAGATATTGCAGTCCAGTGGTAACGCGCAGTCAAAGCTGTAACCACAATGTAGTGAACCGCTGGCTTCACAGAGACACACTGTGGGGCCGAGCAGATAAATCAGGGCTGCAGCTAAAACAAACTGGTAACACTAACATTCATTCTGGGCAACTGCTGAAGAACAGACACTGTAAACCAATACTGAAACTAACAGCCACAATACACTGGCAACACCACTACAGAGGAGACATGAATAAAACACATTTGAATGTCTTGATTACTATTATATTATATTATTTATCATTATATATTATATTATTACATATTATTATTACAATAATTATTTGCATTTTTAGCTGCCAATTTCAAGTTACAGTAGCATGGAGTGGAGTTATTTTACTAACATATACACATTCATACATACTTTTTACTATTATTTTTACTGTTATTTTAAACAAGATTGCTTTTTGGATTGTTTAGATCAAATTAAAATATTAAAACAATAATATTTAACACCTTCTTCAAGTCACTTAATAAGTAAATAACATTTATTATTACTGAAGTTACACATTTCGAGCTTGATTCACTGTAGTGTTGTCACTGTATCACAACATGCTTGTCCCTTCAAACAGGCAGTGTGTATGTACATGAATGTGTTGTGCAGTGGCAGATGAAAAATTGGGAATAAAAGACAAAAAAAATGGCAGGCGGGTCAGATGGATGGTGGGTGCTACTTAAAGGTGCACTGCGTAACATTTCTAGTGGAAAGTCTGTCACCTGATGTCTCCATGGAGATGTTACTGCTTTGTCTAGGAATTTCCAGAGTATAGATTAAAACTATCTATCACAAGGGAGACAAGCAGTTTACAGCACTATGCTATATTACAGTTCAGATCTGTGGAGAGTCGCCACTATTCACAGGAGGAATTTTTGAGCAATAGAAACACTTGTAATGATTAAATGCTACATGGTGGATATGTTTAATGTCATACCATGGAACATTCCAGGCAAAGCAATAACATCTCCATGGAGACAATTAGGTAGCAGACCCTCCACCAGAAAAGTTGCGCAGTGCACCTTTAAATGTGGGTGCTTGGCGGGGTACCTGAGTCTGCTGGGGGATATTCAGAAAGTTGTCCCGTGTTCCGATGCCGACAAACCGGTTGGGAGCTGTGGAGCCTGGCGTGGAGTATGCTATAAACAAAGAGAGAAGTGTGTACATGCTTTTACACACACGGATACACACTGAGCTCCGAGATGAGCCTGGAATTCTACTTTGACTTGGCTTAATATTAGATCAAGTCCGTCAAAGTTGAGGCACTGAAGGCCCATTGATAATATGCTCAAGATTAGGAGCAGATTTGGAGGAGTATTGATTTTGCATTACTGTATACTACATAGTAATTCTTATGTGAGGGGGTCATGGTACTCATCTCAAAAGAGGAACATTTAGTGATGCCACAGGATCAAATTTAGGGCAGTTGTGCTATCTGGACTCCAACATGGCGGCTGAGAATTGTAATGTATGGTGAATGGTATGTATGAAAAGAACAAAATCAAACAAACAAAATTGATGAGTTGTCATTGAAATACATACAAGTGTCTGTATATAAATGTCTGTGTGCTTGAAATAAAAATAAAAATAAAAATAAAAAACAACATGATTTATAAAGAAGAGTGGTGGTAACAGCCATAGCCACGAAGAAAAATGGTAAGAAGCATATACTTAAAAATATCATCAAATAGCTTTATAGCAAGTGACATGTTAATCTGGTCTTGTTGGAAGGGGGAGAGGTGGAAAGCTTGACAGAACAGGAAGAGCAGAAAAAGTCAAAACCAAAAAGGAGAAGGTGACCCAGCCGCTCCATCCACTGCCCCATGGCGGTGTGCCTCTCCCCATGTCCGACTCTGGCACTGCACCTGTCTGGAACCAAAAACTCACCACTCCTCAGAACACCCCCTCTCTCACTTCCACACTATATTCATATTTTTGATTTTTGATCAGCTTAAACTATGCCATATTTGACTTGCATAAATGTAGTAAATGCAGTAAATATGTTTTTTGTTGTTAATATTTAATTGTTATGCGACCTGTGTGATAGTGACAAGGGAATTTGATAAAGTGGAGCAAGATTTTTTTGGAGTCCACGCCAACTGCCCTAATTTTGTTCCTTGGAAAAGAAAAAAACAAAAAAACAAAACAAATATAGACAAGAAACAAAGAGGAGATGAGACTACATACATCATATAGATTTGAAAATAGGAGATAGACTATACAGTCATAAACAGACATGCAAAGTCTGTTATAGAAGAATTTGGTGCTAAAGAGGCAACATGCTCAGGCCCTGCTGTGCTCCACTCAAACGATAATGCAAAAAGCTATTAGGAAACCCAACACCAGAGAAAATGACAAAATGAAAAGTGGTAATAAAGAGGTGGGTTTGGCTGGTAGAGATGTTTTGATATAGAGGAGGAAGGAGGAAAGAATGACAGGAGGAGACAGAGAGAGAATGAATGTGGATCTCTGGTTTGGCATAGGCGTGGTTTCTGCCTTGACTTAATGTACGTTCTTGTAGGTCTACACTAGGTGATAACAGTAAATAAATTCACTTTAAAATGTCTAAAATGAACATATTTATGGGTAGTGTGTATTATTTTGCGGACAATTCTTCTAGTACTAGCTAAAGATCCTACCCAGGATTGAGAGAAGCACCTCTAAAGTCTATAGGAAGCCTGGGGCAATCACAGGGGTTTGTGGAGGGGGAGTGGGGGTGACTTACACGGAGATGCGGGTGAGCTGAGTCCACCATCAGTGTGCGTGCTGAGACTTTTAGAGTCGGGCATGGGGAGGGGCACAGGGCGCGCCACAGGGGGCGGCGGGGGCAGCAGGAAGGAGCCCGGCATTTTGCTCTGGCCTCCTCCATTAGGCTGCAGATGGATCATACAGACAGGGTGAACATGGCACCCCCAAGATCATATACAGAGAGGAACCAACACAGAGTCACATGCAAGAGCAGTAAATATGTCCATATGTACAAACATACAGAAGTAGTAGCCAAGCTTACAAAACATTATTAAACAGCATACTATTTCAAAACATAGAGGGGAAAGGGAAAGATGATGGGATTTTGTTGCGCAGTGTCCCAAAATAACTTGTGGGTATGGAAAGTGAACAAGGAAGAAGAGGATGAAAATCATCTGAGGTTTCAGTATAGGTTTACAGTGGTCTTGCAGCTGTCATCTAAATGAATGTGTCCATGATAATTTGTCAACACTAAATAAATAAAATAGTTGAGAATGCAACATCATCTACAATGGCAGCTCTTTATAACCCTTTTCTAGAGATGACTAAAATTCAAATAACCAATAATCAGTGCTTCAAACAGAAACATCAGCAAATTACATTATGTTAAGCTTTTGCATTCACAATGATACACAGTTTTGAAATACATTTGTAGAGATTCAGTGGTGTATAATAATGATTGGAGCTTACCTGCGCGCCAGGCTGTCCTGGGCTGTCGGTGCACACAAACTGCACAAACTCCTTAAGTGGGTCCTGGTGGTGGTGGTAGCGTATGGTAGGGTGGGTGAAGTACGGGCTGGACTGCTGGATTATGGAGGAGGAGGGGAAGTGCAGAGCAGAGGCTGAGGCACGGGGACTTCCTGATTGGACCAGGCAAGAAACAGAAAGAATGAGGATTCAGTCCAATACCATTAGCACTTCTGTTAACATTAGATCCACACTATATAGGCTACAATAATATTTTACACTGTTCTATTCTGTCCAAAAGATTTACATAGTTGTTGCTACTTGTCAGTGTCACACACAAAACACACACACACACACATACAGACATTTGTATGTGTTTCTGATTAATGATGTCCTAATAAAATTCACAGTTTGCCAGTTAGATGGTGTGCAGGACTTTTCTCTGTTTAGTGATGTAAGCTCAGTGTTCACTCCCAGCAGACCACAGAACACCTCCCCGAGACAGTGAAAGACTTTGGCAAATCTCTGTGGCCTGGGTAATATGGCACACCAAGCATAAAAAGCTACGCTGCTAGGTGAGGAGAGCCTAGCATACAAGCATCTGTGTGCATGTCCGTCACTAACTTCTCAAGTGAATACTGAATGGTCAAACTTTTCTTGTTTTCTTGTTGTTTTTTTTTCTTTCACGTGACTCAGATAGTCACTGAGACAATATGAATGTAATGATTCTTGAGTGTTTTGTCCTATGTCCATGTGAATGTGCTGTTGTCTTTGTGTGTGCACAAACACCACAATGGTGCCCTCTTCAGACAAGAAGAATCAGACAACAGTCAGTTTGGCAGCTCTCCATACTGATCCACGGCCAACAGCAGACCATAAAACACTCTGAAACGTTCAACTCCAAAGGCCAGAGAAACCAGGAGTCACAGCCTGGTGGAGATATGGTTTACCTCCTCATGTCTACCTCCATCTTTCTTTTAGCTTCCTTCCATCATCCTTCAGAATCTTACTGACTCAATGAATGACTTTACATTTGAATGGCAACTTCACAAACAACTCCACAAAAGAGTAAAGGTAAACATGCGCACACCTACATAGTCTAAAAAGAATCTCATTTGCTTTAATACCCCTACAACTCAAAATGAACACTTAAATGTAATGCAATATTTTGTTTTAATTAACGTTTAATTTAATTTAACTTGCTTGGAGATCTTGAGTGTATGAGGTAGACTTCCACAAATAAAAAAAGTGGTGAGATGAGGCACAAATCTGGCCTGAGCATTATGTTGACAGTGGATAGGTTGGGAGGTTAAATTCAATAAATTTGGACACTGAGGGTTATCCATCTGAATGACCTTTCTGTACGGTCTGGTTTGGCTCCTGACCAAATTATCCCGTTGAGAGACAAATGGAATTAGAGGGAGACGGGCAAAGAGAGAGGGCACTTTATGGCTTTGAAAAGTGAGATCAGCCCTGGGGGACACATTGGCAAACTTAACATGTCTGAGACTCTGGGAATACCCCAACTGCAGATTGTGAGACGGCGATGAGTATCCTATTGAGGCAACTAAGTCTTTGGATGACAGCATATGAAAATATATATTAAGAGCTGTACTGAGTTTGACCATCTTTAGTTTCAATATTGGTTTAAATGTAAGACGTGGACTCCAGACGTGAAGCTAAAATGTGTTTTCAAGACAATACAACAAAAAGCATGAAATTGAATCAGTCACAAAGACATGATGCAGCAATGATATCATGCAATGACAATATTAACACTAACAGGCACAAAGATGGATGGAAAAAGCTGAAAGAGAGAGAGAGAAAACGTTGCCAAGCCATGATGATACTGAACACTGAACAGGTGAAGCTCTTCAGGTGTCCTCAGCGGAGTTCCAAAACCACTGTTTTCAGTTCACTTGGTAGAAAAACATTTTAAGGCAATGCTTTGTCGTATTTCTTTGTAAAAGGATCAATTTGAGATCATGTTTGACACTCCCTTTTCTTCTCTCTCTTTTTCAAAGACTCTCCATAGAGGCTTGGGGTCATCGTGCGTCCGGGCAGGGTCTCACCTGGTCTCACTCCTGCCAGCACAGGCAGCGGGTGGTGTGTGAACGCCATGCGGGGGGACCTCGTCTGGGAAGCCAGGGCGTTGAAATCAAACTTCCCCGGCTTCTTAAGTGAACCGGGCGAGGACAATCCTGGCGAAAAAAATGGGATCAACAAAAAAGTGGAGGGAGAGGGAGGAAAAGAGAGAGGTGGTTTTAATTAACAAATTGTTTAAAAAATTAAATTTAATCAAGGGGACAAACATGATTTTTGATTGGACTTGTCTGGAGAGGTTGGTGGCAGTACTCTTTTAATAGTTGTTGGTCATTAACTACTATTAACGTAGACAATACCAAAACTGTAAATAAACTCATATGTACTGCTCAATTTGCTGTATTCTAGCCTGACTACAATCCCCTTCCTGTGCCACAGTATGTTTTGAATCTCATCTCAGTTTCTCTCTCTCTTTCAGGTGCCAACTCTGGGCCCTCTGTGTACAAGCACGGCCACCACACAGCCACAGTCAGCTACTTGTGGTCTGGTTTCAGCAAAAGGCTGTCGGGCTGGCTGCACAAGAAGAAGGCTTCATTCACAAATAGCACACTTTGTACAGTATGGACACGGCAGCTGCTGAGTGCGAAAGACAAGCAGACGGACAGAGAGAGGAGACAGAGGGAGAGAGGGAACGAGAGAGGCGAGAACAACGTGGGAGACATGAAAATATGCGAGCAGGCGAGGGAGCAAAGCAGAACCTGTGAAAAATGCAGCAGCGTCTTGTTTTTCGATGCGTTGCTTTGACGACTTGTATGAAATTGGGATGTCATAAGATGTTAAATATGGTTATTATCTCTCACTCTCACACGCTTGATGTCGGAGCACACTCAAAGCACAGCCGCACATTTAATCACAAAAACAAAGCGCTCACAACATGGCAACATTTCACTAATAAAACAATTGACTTTTTTCCCTTCACTGAGTTTGTCTTTAATCTTCCTACAAAGTGAGTGATTTGATAATGTTTTCCGTGGAAACTTTTTTAGACCGTTGTTTCGTACTCTATTTCTGGTCCCCCCTCCACATCAAACAAGGCATTAAATACGATTGGTACTCCGTTCTCCAGCTGGAGATGTGTGAAAGTCTATGGGAGTGTGTGGGCGTGTAAAAGCTTCCTTCTCTGTGTGAAAGAGTTAAGTCTCTAGCAGGTGGGAGTGAATATGTGTGAACCATTTATGTCTTTAGCAGACATATATTCCATTTTCCCCCCGACTGTAGCGAGAGTCTGGGGGCGTATTGTACTGTCAGACAGATTCCAAGCATGAAGACAACCCCAATCCCACTTGTGACACCAAGAGTTAGCGCTGATCGCTGACATCGTCACACCAGGCGCTAACAGGGAAAGAGACTGGTGTGCAGTGACTTTAAATGAGGATAGAGCTGGAGGGAAATGCTCACTTAAGGGTCAGGACAAGGATTAGCTGTTATTTACATAATTATCATTTGTCAAGATATGCAAAATATTGTTAGTGGTTTTCCTTCTGCAATTTTTTGTTTGACACCAATATTAAAGGTGCACTGTGTAACTTTACTGGTGGAGGGTCCATGGAGATAATACTGTTTTGCCCTGATTATTCCATAGTTATGGAAATAAATTTGGTATTCACAATGGAGACAGGTTAATAGTCAAATCTATGGAGAAGCAAGCCTACACACGGTAAGAATGAATGTTTTGAATGTTATTTTTTCCCTATAAAACACCAATAATTAACAAATGCAATGAAGATATGTTTTATGCCATACTGTGTAACATTACAGGCAAAGAAATAACATCTCCATGGAAACAAGCAAGTAGAAGACCTTCCACCTTAGAAGTTGCATTTAATTTTCAAAAAACAGAGTGAATTGAATTGTAAGTTACTGATACTTACTTGAGACTTGAATACTGCCTGCAGTATAATGAAAAATGGAGGCAATATTTGTCCCATAATCTTCGAATACTTATTACATGATGCAATCTGGTCAAGTGCTCCAATCAGGAAACAATAAATATGACATTTGGACATCTGTTAGTGAAAGC